TTCCCATCATTCTCCGTGTCGCCGTAATAAACACCGTATCCGATGCACCACACTCACTTAACTATTTATACACCTTTTTCTTATCTTCACACTCACCATGCCCAGACGCCTTACGGCTATAGATGAGGACTTTATTATTCCACACACCAGAATCTCACATATTCTTCTCAGCCAAGCCCAACCATTGTTCCTTTCATTTTTTACCTTTATATTGACTTACTAATCATGACTAGTTTCAATATATGCCATGTCTATCATCAAAACACATTACACTATAATGCTGCTCATTATATTTAACACCACAAAAACAACGTCGTTCTGCGGGTGGCCAGCGAGATGCCAGACCGGGCAAAGCTCGGATCATCCACCTTCCACGCAGTCAGTGCAGTGAGGACGAAGCTGATTGATGTTTGTTGGGAATCGGCCTGCCACGCTGATCCCCAACAATCGACAACCAACTTCATCGACCCAAGGCGGTGCGGCAACTCTCCCAAGGAATTACGTAACAGAGCCGGGCCCCGTTCCACCACCGGCAATGCCCACGGTGGCCAATCCCGGCGCCGCATTCCGCCGGGTCAGCCAGGCCGGGCGAGCTGACCCGCCCGGTCAGCTCGCCCGGCCTGGCTGACCCGCGGCCGGAGCGTCGCGGTTGCCTTGTGTGGCTGGCGCCCGGGGACCGGGGCCGTGCCGGACGGGTGGGCCCGACAGGGAAGCGATAAGAAGGGGCCGAACGACCGCTCTCTCCCCCACGCTGCTTTTCCCACTCGGTTTTGGGAGCTTCCCTCGGGGGACGCGAGCGCCACGGCGCCGACGCGGAGGAGAAGGCCGAGGACGGGCGCCGCGCAAGTGAAGGGGCGCCATCCTCAACGTGCGCACACACAACAGGAAACTGAATTTCTTTAAGCCGATCTGGCGCCGATCGTTTGGGAACTGCGCCCTGCCGGCGGGCGGAAGTGGCTGCCAGGGGTATTACCGGTTGAGTTTCCGTTGCTGGCGGCGCCGGCAGGGTCGGGGCATTGGCCGGCGGGCGCAGCACTGCGAGATGGGAGTCGTCGGTCGCCCGGCGGAGGCACTCTAGGTTTTTGGCTTGGGCTGCCCGTGCCGCGGACCTGCGGCCCCCTCCGACCCCGGTGTGAGGGCCCCATGCTCAGGCCGGCTGGGATTGGAGGGGGGGGAGGATAGCGCGATCTGACGTGTCTGCATCCATGACGGCCCGGGGGGGGCGCCATCTTCGGCGGAGATGGGCGACTGGGGTGGGCGGCGCGCCGGCCGGAGATTAAGTGCCAGCGAGTCGGGGAGGAGCTGAATCGCGGCTTACAAACGGGGGGAATTGCCGCGGGCAGTGCGTGCCAGCGGTGGCATCCGGCCAGCGATCGGACCCAGTCAGGTCGTCGTGGCTGTGCGCGCCATCCGTTGGAAGATGTCAAAAGGGGGCCGGAGGCGACCGTGGCGTCGGGGATTGTGGGGAAAGAGCCGGCTCGGCGGAGGCCTGAGGGCCCTTGGGCGACCACGGGTCGGAGCGCTGCGGGGCCCCCCGCGCGTGCCCCAGGGGCCAGGGCGTTGAGTCATTAGGCGGTGTGTGCGCGGGTGGAGAGGGGGGCTGCGGTCCCTACGGGCTTGACCCCGTCCATCAGATCGGCAGTCGGCCATCCGCGCAGGGATCCTCCTGAATTTACATCTGTGGCGCGAGTCGTGGGGCTGTACATACTGCGCCGGGCGCTGTACATTGGGCACCACGGGACGGTTCGATTATCTGCTGAATTTTTGGTGTGAGGATTCCGGAGGGACAGGCAGGATGACGTAGGATAAGTGGGGTGGCGGTAATGTCACAGGGTTAAGGGTCTTTGTGGGTTTTGAACCGCACAATGAAGGTTGGGTGCTGTACTGGCCACGTCACATGCTATTGTGATGTGCTGAATGCGTGTCGAACACCGGTGTGGACTATTGTGCGGGGCTAGAAGGATGTGCTTGCAGTATGCAGCTGTTTTGTGCAAGGACGAATTAGCATGCCCTGCCTGCGCTGCCAGTCACGATGCTTGAGTAGCCTTTGCTGAACAACAGCGTGCCTATTTCTGGCTGTTGCCTGTGCTGTGGTCACAAACCCTCCCCGTCCATGCTACCCTGTTGTGAAGTGAAACACACGTGCCAGACAGAAGTGCTGCCCTGGTGGCAGTTGTGCCAAAGTTGTACTCCTTCTAATTGTTGCAGTGTAAGGTGGTGGTTTTGGTGTATTCCCCCAAGAGAAATCCTCCATTAAACACTTTAAGCGTCGCAATGGATCATTGGGCGCTCCAAGATTGTTTTTGGATGCATCAGCATCAAGTGTATTTGATGTGGGTATGGTTTGCTGTCCGAGACAGTATCGTATTTTGCAGAGATTGCTGTCTTATTGGTGGTTGCTTTTGAGGGTCCAGGGTGCAGTAGCTAATGAAGAGACTGCCCTTCCAGCACTACAGCAGCAGCTGGATTGCGTGTCATGCAGTTCTGGTAGCAAATGTCCCCTGTTCATGGACGTGATAGATTGAATTGTTTTGTTCGTTGTGTGAAGCAGGCATGGGATCAGGCGATACTTCATTTTGGGAGAATGGTTTCATGGGGATGCCTGCCTTAGAGGCCTTTTTCGGTGGACAATGGTGAGATGGATGCAGTCAGTTTTTCACTGGTGCTGTTGTTTGGATTCAGAACTCAAAGCAACGTGCATTCGACTTGCTGCTGTGGACCAAAACTGAGCAGTGTTGATGGTGTTGGAATAAAGAACAGATACACCGGAGTTAGCTGTGCGGCAAGCTACCTGTTGATCTTTTGGCAGTATCTGCTAAGCTTACAAAAGCTGAGGGCCCAACACTGTAATGTCAGATAGAGACTGGTTCGTAACCATCCCAGGATTGCAGCACCTAGCATTGTAAAGCCCCAGCCAGACTGGACAGCACCAAGTTTTGCTGCAAGTTATTCAGCTTTTGAGAAAATTGACGTGGGTTGGGATGCCCTTGATGTATCAGATTCAGCACAATGCTGAGTGTGCACGTTCCCATTTCGCCTTGCTGCTGTTATAGGATGATACAGGCCCTAACTGGACGGTTTATGGCATCGATCTTTTGTGTATATCAAGAAATGAACATCACTGAAGCACTTGTCTTTGTCTGGGTATCAGGAGCCATCCAAGGGAATTTTTGTCAAACTCGATGAAGGAGTTGTTAATCATCCCTGCCAAAAAGACGATGTCAGACATCGTGCGATGCATAGACTTGAAATTTCGCACAACAAGCGAGGGGTGGAATGGGGAGGAAGCCAACAGCAGGCAACAGGCGATAGAGAAGAAAAAGTGCCTGGGGATCAATCAGCTTCAAGCACAGACCAGCGGAGTTCTGGGCAGATCGTTCTCTGCTGGGGATGGACAAGGCAGCCCCTGGGCCATACAGGCTGTTCATATAGGCAGCGATGAGGCAGAAAGTGACGATGCCACTTCGGAACAGACAGACTCGACAGAGCTTACAGATCAACACATGCATCTGAGTTCGGTCACCTCTGCAGAAGAATCGGAGATTGTTGCTACCTTCAAGTCGGTTGGCAATCCTCTGAGCTCTGATGTTGCTGAAGAAGAAGCAGAGTCTGCTGGGTTTGTGGCTGTTGACAATCCAATGTTTGACAGCAGCTCCATTGAGAGTGACTGTGATTGTTCTGATAGGGTGAGTAGTAGTCTGGGCTCCGCTCAATTAGACAACACTTTGCTTGCAACCTGCAGCAAGGCTCAAGACCCAAAATGAAGACGAAGTCCCAAGCGCTGGCACGAATTTCGCCACAAAGATTCGCCAAATCTGTTGCAGGCTATGCTACATTCTCAGTCTTTTTTGCCGAGGGTGTCCATGTAGAGTCTCAGGCCTTGTTTCCAAGCATCCGTATGTATCTGTGTATGTCTGTATAACTCGCTGTAACTTGGATGTCCTGATGCTTCGAATTGGTTTCAGCTACACTTCCCTGTAGTGCTGTTTCTGCTTTTGCAACCAATAGAGACCACAAACACAGAGACGCACTGATATGTGCTTTCTTGCTATGCAGATATCCAACGATGACGTGAAGAACTACGATGTGTGGGAGAATCCTGAATTTCTTGAATCCATAAGTGAGGTGAGCAAGCCATGTTTCATGCCATGATGCATTCGAGTTCTGTTTAATGGTCTCTAGTTGTGAAATGCAAACGCTTCTGAAACTGGTAGGGAGCTGCGGCAGGGTGCGAGCCGTAGGCTTGCATGGACTGTCCAAGACTGCCTGATCCCTTGTATCGCCTCATTTTGAGTTCAGTGTAAATCTATAAAGGAGATTGTGTAATTCCTGTTGTGAATTCAACATGCACAACCTATTTGATGTAATTCTAAACTGAGAGAATGGAAATCCCAAGGTCATTGCCCATTGTTGTTTTGTTATTGTCAATTTTGTAATTCATATGAGCCCATCACTTGGATTGTGGATTGCTGAGCTTTCTTGCAAATCAGAGAATATGTATGGTTGATTTACTTCTATCGAGGGCAGTCAGTAGACTAGGTGAAGATGACCATCACTGCCTTGCAAGGCAAGCCATGGGGGCTGGTTTAAAGTGGCTTGTGTCTTGTGCAAACAACCTCCTTGGTGTTCCTTTCATCGCTTTCCAGGTACCCGCACATGTTTTGTGCTTGGTCACGTTTGTAGCTAGACACTTGCATAGAAGTGGCAAGGTCACTTTGGAATAGCGGCAGGATCTGTGACCATGTTGCACTGTCAACTTTTACAGTGCCACGAATATCAACAAATGCTGCAGATATGTGGTGAACACAATTCCTCTGATTGGCATGAACTCATAGTGATCCAACAGTTATACTGTCGCAATATTTTGTATGTGCCGATGCGGCAATATTGCCATCAGTCGAATGGTGTAGTACTGCATTGTATTGCTTCCCTGTGTCTTGTGGGCAGATCTCCACGAGATCAACAAATTCACATTCCCATCCTCTGAAAGGGTGCACTACTGTGCGCCTGAAGGAATATGTTGCTGGCATGGGTTCTCTTTGCTGCGATGGAAATTGACGGAATTGACCAAGCGATGCCCATGCATCTTTGCTGCAATGAGGCACATTTTAAGCAGTCCCTGTTCCAGTGTCCTAGGCTGCACCACAACATACTCATGACCTCCGCTGTGCAACCCAATACAGAATTCAAACGTGTTTGTATCGCATCTGCAGGTCGATCGTACACTCGAGGAGGGCCAGTCTCCTGTCACAACTCTGATGACGGAAAATCCCCTCTTCCAGGAGGGATTTGCTGACAAGAGGGCAACCAGCCTGAGCAATCCGCTGTTCGAGAACGACAGCGATGTGGATTGTGACGATACAGCCTGCAGCACAGCTAGCTATTCTGATTCCGACACAAATGCACTGCGTGCAGAAATACCAGTTATGGGCTGGAAGGTTGGCCAAGTGGGATTATTTGACTCCGCCAGTGAGCTGCTGGACGCGCTGGCCAGGGCCGAGTCTGGTGCTAGCACTCAACGCTGGGGCTGGCATGGATACGACATCGACAGTGAACCCCCAACGCCCAAGCTGCGGAACTCCAGCTCAGACCAGGGCCACATCAGCCTGACGATTCTAGTACCCCAGGAGAGCTGCGTCGTTTCCATGGACCCTGGCTGGATCTCAATTGGGGATGCTGGGAGGGCCGGCATCGACGGCATCGACAGCAAGCCCTCAAAGCCGATGCGCCGCACCTGCCTGGGCGCACTGACACGGAAGAACCTCGCAGACCTGTCCGCCAAGATCTGCTGCAGGGTCGTGTGCCTGATCGACTGCCTGCTGTCCATGTGCCAAAGTTGCTTTCCCCCTGTTGTGGGGGATTATTTGCCGGGGTCCGAATACGTGATGGGGCTGTAGGCTGTCTGGGGCCACCACTGTGCCGGGTGCCAGGTGGACCACGGCGCTGCAGCCTCCCAAGGGGCCAGAATAACGGACTTGAACCTGGTTGCACAGGGCACGGGGGGCACTGAGCGAAAACGGGGCTGGAAACAGAGAGTGAGGCTGTGAAGCTGAGACGAAAGGAAACGACAATTGTGGGAAATGGGTTATTTAATTTCGGGAAACCGTGTGTCAGTGGCACGGAAATTGTGTTTAGGTGCGGAACACAGAACCATGTTTCTTTGGTGGCTGACGGCGCATGCTGGGACCGCCAGTGACGCCAACTTTTCTGTAGCCTCGTCTGAGGTTGTGAGGCACTTGGTGCTGCTGTACATGTGTAGAGGAAATCCCTTCCTTGCGGGTGAGACAATTTATTGAGGGTTGTGCTGCGGGGTTGGCGGGGTGGCAGGGCTGGCTTGCTGGACTGTGGAAGGGTTGGAAATGCTTGGAATGGTTTTGTGGCTGGTAGAGGTTTGCGTTGTGTAAGACATCGTCTGTTCCGAGCCATTGGACGTCACAGCGGCCCACATGCCTTGATGATTCCAACAAATGCGATTCCTGCAAAATTTGGCTGTGGCGAACAGGCCATCTCCCAATTGCATTGAGAAATCCATACAGTGCGAGGTGATCGTTGTGTTCCAGATCTGAATGGATGGACACACATACCAAGCAGCATTGGAACGGGGTTTGTGTGGTGCCCAACTACAATGAGACTGATATTGGTCGCGCCTGAGCAGTTTCCATTTTTTCATTTGATGCCAGCTGCAGGGTGAACGCTCACAGGAGTTTCTGCCTTACCGGTCTCCTGTGCCCACCCCGTCATGTACCCCCATGACAATACTTACAAACAACTGTCAATGTCACATACCCGAGGTTCCCGTCCATCCAGACTTGCCCTTTCGCTTCGCCAACACTTCAACGCCACTCAGTGAGTGACTCCCCGTGAGTCAGCTCCCATTCCCGTACTTCACTCCCTCAACCCACTCTCCATCCCACAACTACCCACGAACTCCACTTTCCAGGGCGGGAGGGCTGGGTGCGAAACAAGATAAGGAGGGGGACCGAGGGGTTGCCTAAATAGCCGCCCCTCGCCGCCCCGCCAAAGTCCGCCAAACCCGAGGGCGCCATCGCCGGCGGCACCTCGTATTTTCGTCATTTGACTGACCCACGGTACTAGGGGGGCCAGAAATCCCAAGGGACGGGGGTTGAGTAAACCCCAGGTTCAAACTGCACCGTTTGACTCACTGGTGCAGCCCACCCGTCGTCGTCCTTGGCAGAAACCCATTAACAGGATAGTTAATTTCATTTTCAGACAAGTTGGCCGGCTTGGCATCTAAGCATGTGCAGAGTTTGGGATAAATGGCATTAACTATCTTGTTAATAGATTTCCACCCAGGACGACGTTGGGTGGGTTGCGCCGAGTTTCGAAACGGGCGCAGTCGTATTCAAACGGGTTTCTGGCCCTTCCTAGTACCTTGGGTCAGTCAAAGTACGTAGTGCCCAAGGGCCCGTCCGTCTGGCGCCTTGGACTTGGCGGGCTTTGGCGGGGCTGAGCGGGGGCGGCTATTCAGGCTCCCCCCTCGGTCCCCCTCCTATCTTGTTTCGCACCCAGCCCTCCCGCCCTAGAAAGTGGAGTTCGGTTGAGTTGAGGGAGAAAACGGGATGGTGTGGATGGCAGTACGGGAAAAGGGGTGACTCAGGTTTCTGTCACGGGAAAAATGTGAAGTAAAGTATGGGCGAAGCGAAAGGGCAAACTGTTATGAACGGGGACCTCGGGTATGTGGAGTTATCGGTGATGGACACCTTTGTTGTAATGTTTTGTCGTGTGGGGAACATGACTGGGAGGGTTCAGGAGACCGGTCAGGTGGAAACTTCTTAGCACCAAGGGTTTGGGTCCGGCGCCAATTGAAGTCGAGCATGGCCAATTGCGCCAGAACAGGCTTCTAAGGAGCGAGGCAGTCAACTTGTACGCTGACACCTGCGCAGGCAAAGCGACGTCGGCGATGCTCGCTCAACCCGCGAATTTCGACTATTGTGGTCTACTGATCCTGGAAGGCACATCCGATGCCTGGAAATCCTATCGGCGATGGAGCGCACTGCCGGATTTCCGATCTATCCACATGCAAAAATGGATTGTGATCTGGGATCAACATAGAGACTCACACTACGGGTGGAGCAAGCATATGAAGATGCGCTAATTTGACGCGGAGCGTGCCGAAATTGCTGTGGGGGCTGAAAGCAAAAACAATGGCGAAAACGTTCCCGCTCGTGAGTATCACATAGAACATCCATGGGACAGTGTCTGGCTCCTTCGCCATCGGCCTTGCCATGACCAAACACTTGCCTGGCATGCGTGTGCCCACAGGCCAGCGACGAGCCATCTGCCGTGTTGAAACGTGGGATCATGACGGCTTTTGCTGAGGGAAGTCACTGATTCGATATCGTTACCGTACATCAAGGAGGTTAGTGCGGGGGGGATGTTGAACAGCGCGGGAGGAGCGGACAGCACCCCCAGCGTCATCGAACAGTTGGTGTTGTGGTGCGCGGGCAGGGGGGTGGGGGGTGGGGGGCGTGCTAGATAGCATGGGACATGCTGAATACACGGAGTGCAGGAAGCCACAGAAACGTAGCTGTGACATACCACCATTTCTGCTGTGATGGATGTCGCAATTTAGTTTGATATTCAATGTGGTACATTGGCCAGATGGCGGTAAGCTTTGTTGGTAAAATGTGGCATCGTGGAGGGCGTTGCTGGTTCAGAGACTTGATGTGGAATGTGGGTGGCACGTCCGATATTGTGGGGGCGGGCAAGATCGTTCTTGGCGCCAGTCGAGCTGCTCAAAGCGGCGGAGGTGCCATCCTTCGTGACCTACGGTGGAGCCCAACAGGCAAGAAGGGGGAAAGGCGCCGGGATCGTGGACTACGATACTTGGGCAATTGCAACACAATCAACGTGCGCATGGAAGGAAAACACTGACACAGTCTCACCCACTGTGGCAAGCAGGCGCCTCCACTTCCGCAAGCACATGCAGTACGGTTCGCATATCTGCGTGTACTACATTGCTGCAGATCCTGCAACGTCTTTCGCATGACCAAAGCCTTGCGGATGTGTGACATAAACAGCACACGTCCTGCCCATCCACTCCTCGCGCACACCCGCTCCGAGTCGCGAACGCGGCCCGCCAGGGTGCACAAACCGCAGTCAAGCGGACCCCCGACGCGGTCCCACCGGGCCGCTGACACAGCGCCACCAACCAGCGACCCCTTGAACAGCCCCGACGCTCATGCTGTGAGATTCCGTTGCCCGATTTCCCGCCGGGCACTTGAGCGGGCTTGGAGGCCTGGATGGGCGCCTCCCTATGCCGGCCGCTCACCCTCGGCTCCCGCGTGCCGGTGTGCAGCCTGTGCGAGAAGTCCGCCGGCCAGCCCTGGCGCTACCTGCCCCCCGAGGAACGCCGCGCGTGGCTGGTCCAGAACGGACAGTTCTTCTGCGCCAAGTGCCTCATCACACACCGGATCGAGCGCCTGCATCGCGACAGGGCGGATGCGCACGGGCGGTCGGTGACGGCGGCGGTGGCGGCGCGCCACGCCAGAGCGCCGCGCTCCTGGACGCCAATGAAAAAGGTGCTGTCCGGCAAGGCCTGGGAGCGGACGTCGAGCTTCATGGCGCCGTACACGCCCAGCCCGCGGGCGGAGGAGGCCATCAGCAGGGCCGAGCGGCGGCGGGGCGGGATGGACGCCAGAATGCCGAGCCCGAACGCGGGGTGGGAGAGGAAGGGGTCGCGGGAGAGGAAATCGGCGGGAGATTTGATGCCACGCGTCGGCGGGGCTTTGCTCAACGGGCGCATCATGGGGGATGGGGACGTTGGGGAGGGCGAGGGCGGCCATTTGCCGACAGAGGGGCGCGAGGGGGGGAAAGAGGGGGAAGGGGGAGGGGGCCCGCGCGGGGGCCTCAGCGCGAGTTTCGGGGAGCTGTCGCTGGAGGGATTGGACGCCGTTGAGGTGGAGTCGGTGGATCTGTCCGGCGGATCGGGGTCGTCGGGCGCCAGCCCGCGAGGGGATGGGGGGCTAATTTAGGTGCTCGGGCTCCGAAGTCGCGTGGACGCCCGGCGCACGGGGC